TAGATCATCTGAGCAGAAGAATCAACAAGGAAACAATGGCTTTGAATGACACACTAGACTGGATGGACCTAACAGATATATTCAGAACATTTCATCCTATAGTAGTGGAATACACATTCTTTTCAATATCTAAGTCCTCCCCCAAGTTAGGGAAGTTTTCCAATATAATTTGCTCAAATGAACCTTCTGCTCCTTTTTCTTTCTCTTCTTCTGGGACTCCTTTCATATAAATGTTATTATGTTTTATTGAGCTGCTGATTTCCCCAAGTCTACATTCATGATCCAATACCTTTCTTTACCTCTTTTTTTCAGCTTCATTATTTTCCATAATTTTTTCTTCTATACCACTGATTTGTTTCTTTGATTCATCCATCCTCATTGTCATTACACCCATTTGGTTTTGCATCTTGGTTGTAACATTTTTTTATTTCAGCCTGACTAGTTTTTGGTTCTTTTATCTCTGCAGTTCTTTTATCTCTGCACATTCTCTAGTGTCTTCTATGCTTGTCTCAAGCCAAGCTAGTACCCTTATGATTATTGTTTTAAATTCTGTTTCAAACATCTTATTTGCATTTGCAGTGATTAAATCCCTGGCCATGACTTCTTCCTATTTTTTCTTTTTTTTTAATTTATTTTAATTTTTTAATTAACATATAATGTATTATTTGTTTCAGGGGTATGAATTCCCCCATCTTGTCATTTTGTCTGGGTCACTGTTTTTTGATGTGTGTGATTGTTAGGAAAGCCTGTTTTATTCCTGCTCCTGAGAGTAATGACTATGTTAAAAGAGGTCCAAAACAAAACAAAACAAAACAAACAAAAAAGAAGCTAGATCCTAGGTGTGTTTTGGTCTGCTTGTTAAAAGAAGCTAGATCCAGAAAAAAATAAAATAAATAAAATAAATTTCAAAAAATTAAAAAATTGTTTTAGATCCTAGGTGTGTGTTGGTCTGTTCATTAAAAGAAGTTAGATTAAAAAAAAAAAAAAAGGCGGGGGGGTAGTTAAATCCTATTTCCCCTAGAGTTGAAGGTTTAGGGCTCTCTATGATCAGTAGACTTGGTGGGTGAGGAGTTTGCGCTGGTCTTCTGGGGGCTGGGCCTACTGCTCTGCTTCTCAGGAAGACTTGCCCTGCAGGGTGCAGGGGGGTGGGGCTTGGTGTAACTGGCTCCGGCCTCCACTGGGTGGTGCTGTTTTGCTCCCTGAAGTCAATCAGTGCTGATGGCGATGGAGAATGGTATTGCCCCACTCTTTCATCCCTAGAGCAGGGAGCTCACTCCCACCACTCTTCAGGAAACCCTCTCAGAAGAGCAAACAATTACTCTCTTGTGTCCCAGGCTTCTGCTAGATCCCTGCCTTCACCCTGCCTGTGTCTGAGCTGTCCACCTGCCAAGCAACATAGCACTCCTGTGTTTTATCTCAGGCACAAGTGGCTGGGTTTCAAAACTCCAAATTTAGAGATCCACACAGTCTGGACTGGTGCTGATCCTCTGGGGGAGGGTCTTGCTGCACTGTTGCCAGTGCCTGTTTGTCCCAGAAATCAGTTGTGCAACCATGCAGCAATTCATAGTTTATGGTAAAGTACAGCTAAAAGCTGACATGAAGGTCTGCTGCCCTCAGGTGGTATCTTTGTTCCTATGCTAGGGCACAGGACAGCATGCTGGTGCTGCTGGTTCTTTTGCCCCTGAAGAGCCTGTGCCACCACTCTCAAATATACTTCAAGCAGCTTCCCTGTGACCCAGGGGATCCTCAGACCACGCTGCCCACTCCTGTATCTCCACCCCCCTTCTCCACTGGTGTACCACCGATCCTGCCAGGTACAACCCTGGCCATGGTGCAGACCTCCAAAACTTCAGACTCTGTGCTCTGAGTATTCAGGGATGCCTGGGTGTCTCAGTCAGTTAGGCATCTGACTCTTAATTTCAGCTCAGTTCATGATCTCAGGGTCATGGGATCAAGCCCTGCCTTGGGCTCCACTTTCAGTAGGGAGCCTGCTTGGGATTCTCTTCCTCTCCGTATGCCCCTTCCCCTATTCACATTCTCCCTCACTCTAAAATAAATAAATAAATCTTAAAAAAACAAAACAAAGCAAAACAAAACTTATGGTATTTGGCCCCTCTCCCTTTCCCAGTCAATGGTTTTGGAAAAGTTTCTCTTGTGCAATTCCCTCTATGTGTTTTCACTCTCTCTCTCTCTTTCTTTTTTTCTCCCTCGCTCTTCTTTCCGTGATCAAGGCTCCCTCCCCTTCATAGCACCTGCAGCTCTTCTCTCCCCCAAATCAACTCTCCACAGATCCTACCTTCCAGGATGTGACATTTTTTTTTCTACCTCTAGTTGTGCAATTTTGCTCTTTCCATCCTCAGATCAGTTTTTTGGGCGTTCAAAATGATCTAGCTGTGTTCAAGGGATGAGGCAAGCTTTGGGTCCCCTTACTCCTCCACCATCTTAACTACTCCTCCCTATTTGTTTTTCAGCTAATATTATCTAGTTCTCTCCACCCACCAAATGGTGGGCTTCTAAAATCTACTCCAACACAATGCACAAACTTCAATAGTCATGTATAGCATTTATACAAATTGTATCCGTTTGTAGATTTATCTTAATTAGACTTTGTTGCAGGAATACTTAAATAGTAAGGATAGTATCAGGGTCATACTGGAATGCCCAGAAATGTAGTATTAACTTAGTATAAAATCAAACTTAATATGGTCTCCATAAATATTTATCTTGCAATACTATTAGATAATTAATAAACAAAATGAAATTCCACTTAATAGAGTGAAAGTAGAATTTTAAACTGCAATAAGAGTTGCCAAAAGGTAATAAAACAGCTCCCAAATACTGAAAGACATTAATTATCAATCTAAAACTGTATTTCCAGCTAACAACCATTAAAGAATAAGGTAAAATAGTCTCAGCAAAAATGAAAAGAAAAACATGAAAGTGCTTCTTTAAGAAAATTTTAATGACGTGTTTATCAAAGAACACAGTTAACCCAGAACAACACAGGTTTAAACTGCACAGGTCCACTTACACCTGGATTTTTTTTTTTTGAGAAAAATATAGTACAATACTATAAATCTATTTTTTCTTCCCTATGATTTTCTTAACATTTTCTTTTCTTTTTCTTTATTGTAAGTGTACAGTACATACTACCTATAACATAGAAAATATGTGTTAATCAACTATGTTATCAGTAGGCTTCTCGTCAACAGTAGACTATTAGTAGTTAAGTTTTTGGGTGGTTAAAAGTTATAACCAGATTTTCAACTGCACAGGGGGTCAGCACCCATAATCACCACATTTTTCAAGGGTCAACTATATGTTTCACTAGGAAATTTCTATTTTTAAAAAAGAACTGATGTTAAAAGAACCTGTGAGCAAAGAAGGTGGTATATATATGAGTGATTTCAATTAGCATCATTTGTATAAAACACACAACTAATGATAATGACTAACTTGGGCATGAGAATCATAATAGAACTAAAATACTTGACAACAACATGTAAGGTGGCAAGGAGTGGGTTATGGATAAGAGTTAAACTGTGCCAAGGCCTTGTATTATTTGATAGTAGAGATGTTAATTAAGATTATATTCTGTTAGATTTTAATGGCAACCACTATAGGATGTATGTAGAATGTTGATCTTCTGGATCAGCAAAATAAGTATAAAATTACAAAGAAAACTTAAATGGCTCAAAAGAATATAAGAGGACAGAAAACGGGCTAGACCTAGAGAAGTAACTATAAAACTTACAATCACATCCTAGTAAGTCCCCAAAGGTATTGGGAAAATTAGCCTCAGCAGTTAAAGAGCACAGATTTCTAGATTGGGAAAACTATAAAGGGAAATGCAATTTGGTGATAACTCTCTGAGAAGTTTCTTATCAATGTATATGAAGAATCTCACATCGATTTACCTTTTTTAATTAAATAATACCATTTCTAGTAACTAGTAATTTATCCACAAGAGGTAATTAGAAGTGGCAATTGAAGAAATATACACATACTGAGACACACATAAACACAGAAATGTTTCATGCTGTGCAAAAAAAAAACAGGTTCCCAAAACCCTCTATACAATAAAAACTAAAGTTTATAAATTTTAATTTTCTTTTATTTCTTTTCTTTTCTTTTATTAGTAAATGGAAAAGATATAAAAATGCCACAATGTTAATGGAAATCCTTTCCTGATGATGGGCCTTTAGGTAGCCAACTTTTTTTTCTTAAATATTCTCTTGATATTTATGACCAAGAAAATGCATTATTTTTGTAATCAGAAAAATACTGTAATTTTTCTGCAGTAGTGTGCTTCAAATGTACTTCATATACAGGATAATTAGGTTGAGGCTCATAGTGCTGAGAGAATGTACACTGTGCATTTCTTTATAGTCTTACATGTGTATGTGTCATGCATGTGTGTGTATTACCTTGTACAAATTTTATAAGAAGCTTGAGGTAGGTGTTGTTATTATCTGTTTTTACAGATAAGGAGACTAAAAGTCAGAGAAATTACAATATGAAAGTTTGTAAGACTTTACCTAGTACTTGCTTTATAGATTCTGTGTTCTCTGCGCCAACTTCTCAAAATATGTATGGACTACTAATATATTTTTTAAATTTGTAAATCAATTTCTATAAAGTTACTGAATGGCAATTGTGGTGGTTCAGTTTGGTGAGTATGCAAATATGTACACGGGCATCTCAGTCTCAGTTGATTCTTTCCCACCACTATAGGAACACCAGGGCCAAGCCGCTGTCCAGACATAAATTCCTTAACAAGCTGTAACCACAGACATAAACACCTCTCTTAAATGAGGAACATTCTCATGATCTTGACACTGCAATTTCTTGGCAATTTCCCAACACCATTAAGAAACATTCCCTAAACTCACAAACAATGCTTGAGGTTTTTTGGTTTTTTTTTTTTCTTTTAATTTTGCTTTGTTTTTTGTTTTTTGTAAAGAGAAGTAGAGGAGGATAAAACTGGACCGCTGGGGAGACCAGTTTCATGCTGTGTGGGACTTCTCAGCTATCTGCAGTAGACAACATGTCTTTGGCACTACTTTCTGTCCTCTGGCTCATCATTCAAACTCAAGGTAAGCACTAAAATAAAATACAAAAATCAAATTATTTAATGCATTTTTAATGTACCCTTGAAAAAGTAACATTCTTATATGACCCAAAGATCACTACTGTTTGCATTTTGGTATATTTACTCAATTTATATAAACTCCATGCTCAGAGTCAAGGTGTGATTCGTATAATAATTTAGTTAGGATGTACCTGAAATTTTACTTCTCATTCAATAATTCTACTAGATCTATAATTGTATTTTCTAAAACATACAGCCCAAATAACATCAGAGGATTAACTTCCAGACCAGAAATCAAGAATTTTCTCACCATCTCCAATGCTATCTTGAATAACATTGATATTTTCTACTCCATAAAGAGACAATCATCTATCAAGACACAATTTGACCAAAAATTGTGCTAGGATGGATGACAAGGAAGACTTTTAAGTAAAATTAGCATTAGACATAATTACAGTATTAAGCAAAATTAAAACTTAATTGACCAACTGAACAGTTAAAGACTAAAATTTATTAAAATGTATTCTAACCTCAACGCCACAACTCTTTCCATTAACTGGATTCATATTCTCCATTGATAAAAAAAAAAAAACCTTTTAGTAATATATTTATAAATTTCCTGTTTTCCTGTGTAATGAGTCCTTCTTGGGATAGCATCATAGCAGAACTCTGGGGTCTGAATAGGAGAAAATTTTTGCTTGATTATTTTCCTTCAGGTTCTCCACATCAGCCAGGTGTTAAACTGCTTGGTGTTCCCAAGGTCACCCTGTCTTTCAGTGGGAAATTGCCTCTAAGCACAGACATTTATCTTTGAAAATGGGAGCATTTAAAAATAAGACTGACCTTACATGAGTGATTGAACAATTAAAAGAAAGGGTAGATAAGGTGCACCTACCATCTTCCTAGACTGGTGCTGCATAATTTTATATATTTTATGTTATTCAATTTTTACATCAACCTCCATTTTAGATAAGTAAACTGATAGGAAAGCAAAATAACTTTTATAAGGTCATTTAGCTAGGACTTAAGACCACATCCTTTGGCTCTGATATCAGTTCTCTTCCTACTATATGCAAGCAAAATATAAAATTGTCTGTGTAATATTATGCCAAGTGTATCAAGAAGGACATTTAGCCTACTTGCTGTCTGATTTTCCTACTTGCTACCTGATGCTTTGAAATTGCTCCAGCAAGGGATAACACAAACTTTGTTTCCTATGAAAGCTGAAGTCTTGAGGGTAAATGCTAATGAGAGGAAAAACATAATGGTTTATTGTTACACTTAGAAATAAAATAGTGGTTAATAGAGTCTTCCCTAATAATGAGGTATTATCTGCTTATGAAAAATTTGATTTTTGGAAGAGGTAGTCAGGGGTTGCACCACAGAGAGAAAAAGACATAGAAAGCAAAAACAGAGATCTCTGAGAACACTAAGAGAAAAATCCACAATTTTGAAGAGGACTATAGAGGAAGAGGGAACTGGACTACAAGGCAGAATCCTGGCTCCTAGAAGCTTCCATGTACTGAGAAATCCTCTGAAGAATTATTTCATCATCTCCCTGTCTTTCCAGAATAAGTAGATAGAGCAAATAAAATTTCTTCATTATCAAAGCTGATAAGGAGGAAGAAGGACGACCTTGCTTTTCTTAATACTTACTTTCTGGATGGGAATTCAGCCCTCCATACCATTTCAACAAAGCCAACCAACCCAAACCAAAACAAAACCCAAGACCTTTAAATGCATTACATTAATATTTTTTCTTTTTTTCTCCACCAATAGCCATAAAGCAAACACCTGAATTAGAGCTCTATGAAGTAGTTCGTCCTAAAAAACTACACATTTTACGCAAAAGGGAGATACAGAACAACCAGACAGAGAATGGCAAAGAGGTAAGTAATGTGAATGATAGTGGGATTTCACAATCAGAGAGCCAATAAAAAGCCTTTTTACTAATAGAGGTGATGCCTAACAGTTTACTTTTGAAGCCCATATCCACAGCTCCTCTTTGTCCAGGAACGAATGCAGGATTCTAGGAATGCTTTTACATTCAAGCAGTAGGAAGAGAGTTAACTATTTCACTTGATCAGAAAAAATAAAGCTGCTTAGACATTTCTCGGTTTGGAGGTTAGGGGGAGAGCACAGGAAGGGAAGCCATTTCTAGAAAGAAATGTTTCTTGCCAAGTTCACCAAACAGTATCCTCACCTCCTGCCCCACAGAATTGCCTTTTCCTTGACCATTTTGCTTATAATGGAGAATTCAACATTATCTCGTTAATTAGCAAGATTTACAAAATATATTAAAGATATTAACTCTTTGACTCTTACATTGTTGCAAATACTTATAATTTTTACCTTAATTCTTAGTAGTTCTTTTTTTTTTTTTCCAATTTTTTTTTTATTCTTATGTTAATCCCCATACATTACATCATTAGTTCTAGATGAAGTGTTCCATGATTCATTGTT